GACATAACCCTCCAAATCACTACTTTTACCAAACGAAACATTTTACGCTTTAAGAAAGGCCAATGTAACATTCCAAATAGGAATGTGAATATCAAGCTGGTTCAGAAATTTCACTAAGAATTTGCTGTTAAAAAATATTTGTTGGAGAGGGGGTAGGGCGCCCACACTTGCAAAGAAAACGCCGTGTCGCTCATTACAAAAATCTTGTCGGCATACTTCGGATGAGGTTAACCAGCTTTGCCCGGAACCGGCTAAATGTTGCCATGGCTTGACCGGCCTCTCCCTGACCCGTGTCCATGGGGGTCATACAACCTGAAGTGACCAGCAGCCTCGAAAAAAATGAAACGAGAAGGACGAGTTGGTCTTAAAACACCCGAAACACTGGAGCATTTTACACATACATGCCCCCTCCTTTTTTGTGCAGTTTGCGAAGAATTGGGTACCAATGATTCTGAGTTAATTGCTACAACGTGGCGTTCAGTTCATATTTGATAAAAACATATAGTATTAACTTTAGAAAGCATGCGATTGATTACAATCCCCATTGTTATCTCATCCACTGCTCGTTGCATTGACCTTTTGACTCGGGATTGTAGAGGCATGATACGTATTTATTGCGGGGGGGGGGGGCTTTCAAGCGTCTGTTCTGCGAGCTGCGAGAGAGTCATTTCTTGTGAGAATCCCAAGGTATAGTAGGCGCTATATTTTTCATCTTATTTTGGATATCAGTCATATATATTTTTGCCAAGACCTAGTTATAGGTTGGGGCAGATGAGACACGCACCTGGCATGCTTCCAGATTTACTTTATAAGGTTGGAGCCAAGGGACTTTGCAGAGAGTTTTGCATTCTGCTGAAGTAAGAAAGTCGCATAATTATTGCAAACAAATATGAACTAATGATAGCCTCTGATACAGAATGGCTTGAGATCGTGTTTCGCATCCCCGTTACATAACCAATTGCAAGACAGTGAGGGACCTTTCCAAAGCAGCCAATGCACAGCAGCGACCCAATTATTCAAGTTCACAAGAAACCAATATACCAATAGTGAAGCGTTGCCATTTTGGAGCCCTGCCATGTTTCCCTGGAAGATAAATAGACCGTTAATTCATCCCATCAACACACTGGATAATAATGTAGATAATTGTATCTCTGTGGAGATTTGCGTAACTGACGTTATTTTTCCTAACTGTCAATATTCCAATAGATTATACGATTTTGAAATATTACAAGTGCCCTAGATCAGGGAGCATTTGCCGCTGTAGAATATATACATGTACATATGCATTTTGGTGTACTTCGATCTCTATTGCATTATCATGCATCGAACCTTTTGAATGTCCGTTATCAAAATTTCAAAAATGGCTAGCGGAAATTAATGAAGGCGTTTTTAAATTTTTTCAGCTTTGATAAGTAAATCTCTCTGTTTTATAAATAAAATGAATAAGTATCATCTTTGTTTTAATCCAATTGTTCCCTTTGCAAATGTCCCATTCAGAACAGTAGACTAACTAGTCCGAGGGTCAAATATGGCCGACCCACTTGAATACTTCCCCACGGGAAATCTATTCAGTGTCTATTAGCGGATTAGACGGCAATTTTTTAGTGGGTCGCCATTTTGACCCGCAGACTGGTTAGTCCACTATTCTGAATCGGCCAAGGATGACGCTATTGCTTTTGTTTCGCAACCTATCTGCTATTTTGCCAATTTTCAAAAGACATTTCGTGATACCCATGCGTATGATCTCAGTTAAGGTGCTGTATCAGGGACACCAAAACCCCAGTTACATACATTTACATGTACCTAAGTGAATACAACTCCACCAAACACAACAACATCTTGGCAATCACCAAGCAGTATAACATGCAGTTGCGATGTACATTTAACTTGTCAACTTCTACTATTCAACTTGACGACAACATGAATTATATGTCAATCTGCAGAATCGCTGCGATTAATACATGGTCAGTCTTCCTTCCCCATCCCGAGTTGCAGAAATTACTTGTACCACACTATCATTACACTATCATACATATCATGATTGTCATGACAGTCTTAAAACCCTCTTCTCATACCCTGGGCTTTAGATTGGAAGCGTGCCCGCTCCTTTCCATATGCATGTACATATATCTGCTTACATTAGAAATGTGGCACTGTTACGGAGATATGAATAGACTAGAAGATACAGAAGCTGCCTCGCTGAGTATCTTCCCCTGTTGGAAGGTTGTTTATCAACTGGCATAATATTGATATACATATACTTTCGAATTTGTAGTTGAGAGAGAGAGAGAGAGAGAGAGATTACAAGAGAAATAGAAGATATGTTGCTTCGTCTTTGACTTATGCACTGGACACGCAGATGCCGATATTATTGTGTGGGCGGTGATCTCTGGTGCATCATGTTATTGGTTTGAGTATTCTCTTTATAAACAAATGCGGATTAAAAATAAAATGCACTTAATGCATTCTCTCTCTCTCTCTCTCTCTCTCTCTCTCTCTCTTTCTTACACAACAGCAGACAACAAGCAAAAATATATGACACCTTGACTATTTGCCCTTTCATATCAAATAACTCTGTATCGTCATCAGAACAAAATGTTTTCCGCGGTGACAAAAA